TTATCCATGACCTTGGGATTACAAATTCTTCGTATTCGCAGAGCAGGAGATATGATTAAATTTCGATTTTATCCATTGGGGACCCAGTTGTAAAAACTTGATAGCTGACCATTTCATGAGGGTTTCCTGAAGATGAATCGTCTTACAGATCCATCGTGTTTCCTTGTCATTTCGATATCAAGAAAGTAAATACTTTGCTTTCGTATTCAAATATGAAATTTATTGCTGAGTGGCAGTTATTAAATATCTTTAGATGACTGAAATAATAATATTTATCGTCACAAATGATAAAAATACCATCCAGGTATCTTTTGTTTGTGCGTAGGTTGTTTTAGGCTGATTTTTTTCTCGACTGTCTATGAACTAATCCGCTTGTAATGGACCAATATGGGACCCAACTGCTATGCCATACTTTTGCCTATGAATTACGTCGCTGAATATAAATCGCACATTACAAGTGTATTGTAATAGTAGTTCCTTTAAATACGCTTCCGGTATTCCGATATTAGCCTGATTGTTATTTATTTGCAAATGAAACTGATAGTCTCTGTGGTATAGTAATGAATGGTGATTTGATATCAAGGGAAAGGATAAGTTCATCATTTACATTCACTTCTTTTATGTAATTAATGCATTCAAAAGTATCATGTGGGGAATGCATACAAACACATCTTACCGGTCCCAGGAGATCTGTCAACCGCCTTGTCATTGAGTGTTAAGGGGACCTGAACATTTTAAGAATTGGTCAGTGAGGCTTGTGTATTTTAGGAAAACCATATAGTTGTGTTATTATTGATCCCGATGATTTTATGCACTCATAAATATCTTCATTACACGACCTTTTTTCATTCTCATTGATAACTCCACTCAGTTACTTTTCGATCATTTTGGTCTTGTTCGTCTCATTGATTTATTTGACAAACTTGGTGTCAACTGATAAGTTTATCATTTTGTCTACGTAGATCTTGCGGTCTGACAGAACTAAACCTGTACGTTTATCTTGACGGGATATTAATAGGTTATCGTTGCTGATTTCAGTTTTTTGTTAGAAGACTTTCACCTGTTACTTGTGTGCTAATATACTGTAAGAGTAGATTTAAAAAGTTGAAGTTCTTGGTCAGAGACATAAGTTTACGAGAAGTCTATAAGAATATCAATAATTTATTGAACGTTGTTAGGGTAAATATTGTCTGTTTCTTTGTCTTTGAGAGTTAAAAATTTGTTATTCGTTCAAAAATAAGCCATAAAATCTATATAACGGTTGTATTGTTTTCATCTATACAAGACCTTGTATTGTATAAGCATTTTTATACCACAATATTTTCACGTTAATTATACAGGAAATACCAATGTACATAAATCCGACAACTTATTAAATTGATTTGTTATATTCCCATTCTTTCCAAAGTTGGTGTAGGTAAATTGTTGAGTGCAAAACAGATATCACCTAGGTAGTTCTATGCTGAATTTAATATAGTGATTTAAATTCTGCATCAATATTGCTAGGTATTTCTATGTTCTAAAATTCACTGACAGAGAGATAAGCTAGAACTAAATGGATTGAGCTGGACAACCAGTATCGAAACCTCCTAGCTTATCTCGAGTTCCCGTTTTCTCAGCCACAGTTGTGACGAATTATTGTAGAAATGAAAAGGCAGGTTATGTATCATCACGAGATTTATGTTATTCTTTATGAGCCGAGATTATCACCAATCAATATCCGTCAAAATAAACGGCACAAAAATCAAAGCAACTTCTCATTTAGCAGGCTATTACTAGATTATAGCATCTATCTTAAAATTAGGTTTATTTATGGTTAATTTTACCAAGTATTCCAATTAACTTATTTAACAGACAGTGTTATTAGAATATATGTCTACTTCATTATATTATTACTACTATTATGTCGACTCTGAAATCGATTGCACTAGCCTTTCTGCTCAAATTCGCTTGCAGAATTGTGATTTCTGCTATCCAATGATAAACTGCGGTAGGCACTTCGTGTTGCCTTCTGAATCCATACACTGTTAGAATTTACCATTTAACGGTTATCAGGGTGATTGATATACAAAGCTAAGGAATTATCTCAAAGCCAATACACTACAAAATAAACATTGTCAGTGCGTTTGCTACTAGAGGTCTTTGACCAAGATAAGTTACAGCTATTTCAACTTCTCAAAGCGTTGTAGGCTGACATATTTGGGTGGGTAGATTATTTTAAGTTTAATTTAACTCGCTGGCTAATCGTTGATGTTTCTTGTTCATGTACATATTATAAAACGTTTTAAAAGCTTAATATTCAAACAACCTTATTTGTCTCAACGAGGACATCGTGAAAATAGTTATGCACCCAAAATTATTAATATATATATTGATCGCACCTAGAAATAATACCCGAATTTGAGGTAAATTCACGAAAGTAGCAGTTATTAAAAAAAGAAACTATAAAAGAAGCACATATGGAATTATATACAAAACATTTATTGCTCAGCGATATAACCAAGTAGATCAATAAAAAGAGTAACAGGAGAAATCAACGGTACAATTGACAGATATTACCAGATGACAGTCTTTCAGACACTTCCACTGAAATACTTTATTCTAAAAATATTAGGATACAGTTTCTTGTTATCTTCAGAATACAATAATGTGACAGATTCAAGCATATTTCATCTACTTTGATAGGGCCATTACTAACTTCATAAATACCGAATGGACAGCTTCGATTTAGTACTAAGATCTCCTAGTCTTTTGTGCAAACAGTTCATACCCTATCAGTAAGAACTAACAACTATAAACCGTTTCGCTATACTATGCGAAAAACAGCTAACAACCTATGCACTTCAAATGTGAATGACATTATTAAAATGAGTTCTATATAAACACACACCAGTTATTTAACAATAAACAAGGCCAGGCTATATTTATTGTAAAAAATTAAATGGGTCATCTTGATAAAACTTGATGTCAGTGATACGAATGTTAACTTATGATGTATGGTATTAAAAACTAATGGAATAAATACTTGTGTATATTCATTCACAAATCGGTCGACTTGATAGTTACTTCAATATTATAAATAAACAAATCATGGCAATTGATTCATACAGATATTAGCCAATATTTGAATAAATAGTAGAAGTTAGGATCGGAGTATATAGAAGACGTTACTTTCAAAAACTAAACTTAAAATCATCGCAGAGATCGAAATGACATTTGACTACGCCTAAACCATCCTTTAATTGCTGACCATCCCACACATAGGAAAAGGAGAAAGGCTGTGTGCAACCTCAACAACCCCACCTGGCGAAAATACACTAATCAGCCCACTTACACTCTATTATGGAAGTTCAAGAACTATCCTATAGAACAGTGATTCACGACTCATGACGAAAGCCAAAATTCTTCGGGAATCACCAGCACCATATCTCCTCCGGCAAAACCAAAACCGACAATTAATACACGCACATGGAATATCGAGAACTGGTAGGGATTGGGACAACCATTCGAGTAACAGAGGAAATAAGCAGACGCAACCTGAATGTGTTTGCAATAAGTAAAACACACTAAACACTATCTCAACAAAAACAATAACTTCGAGAGACCACTCATTGTATTTCGTTCAGAAACAGAAATATTCAATACATACAAGGAGTCGCACTCACGTTATCTAAAGAACCAGGATAAGCGCTTATGTAACACAAGACAAACACAAGGCTCCAGGACCATTTAAGCATCACTCAAGACAAAGAAACCAAGCACTACGATCGACGCTATCCTCTGCAACGAACTTACCAGTCACCACAGAGAACATCTTAAACACCAGTTTTACGAAGTACTCCAACTCACCCTGAACAAATCTTCAAGAAAAATGTTGATCATCCTGATGTGAGACATCGACATCGAATTCGGGACAGACAGTACCGGATACTAACGCATTATGTGACGACATAGACCACGAGAGGGTAACGAGAATGGAGTGCGACTGGAGAATCTATGTGCTATCAACAACATGGTGACTATAGACCACAGTATTTCTCCCGACAATCCCATACACAAAGCTACACAGGAATCACAAGAACACACTACAAGAAACGAGACTGACCACATCTGCGTCAATAAAATATTTACAAGGTGCATGTGAGATGTACGAACAGAGAGACAGGAACAGATTATGAAGACATCATCACATGGTATTAGGTTCTGGGAAAATGAATGAACAGCGCTATAAAAGCTTAATATATGTTTTCCCTAAGCACCTAACAAGCTTAGAGAGTTCGGAGTGGGTCCGAGCAACAAGTTCCGAACGACATAGGATACATCTTCCAGACCAACAATTTCAATTTTGTAAGTTCCGATCAGGTTCTTAGTAATTGTGCAAACTACAGAAGTAACACACTACTCTCAATGACATACAAAGTTCCCAACGGTGTCACTAAACGGAGTAACTTCAAATCAACCCGTTGAACTTCGTAAGGTTCGATCATTTATATATATATATATATATATATATATATATATATATATATATATATATATATATATATATATATATATATCATCAAGTGAGTAAGATAAATCAAAGATCTCAAACTAACATTCACCATTCCGTACATATTAAAAGTACTGATTTTTGGAAAATGAATGAAAGCAACATGAGAGAAAAAGTAATGCCAACAGACTATGATTTTCTCAGCCCGTCCCTCAATAGGATACTGTTATACGGAGGCCTAAAATACACTCTCTTTTAGTGTGTTCTTTACATTTACATAAAGATCGACACAAATACACATACCCACATAATTGAAAGAAAGAAAAACTGTTTCTGAATAATTAAGTAAAATGATTATAAAATACTTAGTTTACACACAAATTGTGAAAATCATTAGTAAGAAAGATGACGGTAATTATGCGGTCATTCGCAGTGATCACAATATAAATTGTAACTGAGTTTGACATAAACGTACAAATCTCCTAACTAAGGGAATTACCGAGACACATCAAACTATCTTTAAATCTGCAATTTGTTCAGATAGTGTTGGAAAGTTCCACAATACGAGATTACCATCTCGACCGACTGAGCTGAGTTCTGAAGCCATTGAACGATCACCTTTAAGAATTCGAATTTCACTGAAGTTTTGAGTAGACAAAAAAAATAAAAGTTTAACGAGTCATAAAAAAAGTTTTGAAACCTATGTAAACTAGGTCTGGAATTTAGGTGACAAGTTTATAAATGTAACAACTTATATTCGATTAAACTAAGAAAATGAAAAGCTTTGCATAAAACCAAATGAGACATGTCACTGTTTTCGTGATATCTATAACTTCTTGTTCTTGTCTCGAAAAAATGAAAGCTCAAAAGAATGAGAAATTAAAATAACACAGATAAGCGGCTAAAGATCTTGGTTAATCGCAACCAAAAATGAAACGAAGTCGATTTATATTTTTTGTAAGGTTCAGATTGGGGAGTGTACTTGAGTCAGTTTATTTACTGACGCTTGACAATTCATTGACAAAAAAGCATCCGAATCTCTGCTCTATTGCAACTGCAGATAAAAAATGAGTGCTATTTATTTACCCTTTACTAGCCTTTAATCAGCCTACTTACAAATATCTCTCCGAACTACTTAAATGTTTAGTCTTTCTCACTATATTTCCCACTGCATTATTTCGACTCCTGCTATTTAACTCGTTGATTTTATTTCGTTGTGCTGTGGTATGGGAAACAAAAAAGCCATGACAAACAACGTTAGCTACTTTTGAGGAAGTCATTTCACTTACTTCAAAGCTTGTAAAATACTAACATTCAGTTTTGTCCCTAGTTCATTTTACAAACTAAAGGCTTTCGTTTGATGTATGATTCACTATCGTACCCTTTTTTGTTCCAAAGTTATTATAACTTAAACGTAACCTTTAGTACTCTATTTTTCTACTTTTATGCCTAGTTTTGAACATAATTGTATTTTCTAATTGTTTGTGCGTTGTGGTCATGTTAGTCATATATATTATTCATGTACCTGAACCCGAGTGTGAATCGGAATCAGGAAAATGAATAGTGTTCCAGCTGACTCGTCTTCTCTCACTTGGCAATTAATCAGGTGATAGAACAGTTTCCGTCTCTCTACCCAAGGCAGTTGGTCTCATTTCCAACTCACGTGATTCTAGCCTCAAGGTTGAACCATTAGGCCTATCGTATCAACGCCTTAATCTAGATTGAGACAAGTTACCTTCTGTATATCAGTGGGTAAACAGATCAAAGATGTAACACTACCACCATGCAAACTTCAAGCAACCAGTCATATGCAACATGAAACCTAGCATATATGTGAAACGGTTCGAGTTGCCACACCAAATTAGCAAAGTGAAGTGAAATAAATCACAGAAAAGTAGAAGTATTGACAGTACCAGTAGTAATATAGAAGTCCAGGAGTAGAAGATATGATTCTAGGGGGAAATTTGGGTTTGTGGAACGAAAGAAAATCACAAGATAACTTAGAAACCCCAGATCTAAGGGGAAATAACGAGCGAATCCACACTCCTCATTGGGGAAAATTCTGATTCACGTCACTCAGTTTCCAATCACTGGTTACAAAATCCGAGCGGACCCAACCAAGTTGTATGCACCTAAATGTACGGCTCATTTCAATTGCTAGTGACCTTATTGACTGATGTTACATCCTAGTTTGGCTGCCCCTAACTTTCTACTAGCCTATTACCACACTAGACAATATCACCCATTGAATTATGCGGTGGTTTGGCATGGTGACATGGCTGTATGTATAACGCTATGCTGCTGTTCACTCAAGAGTAACCTTAACATAAAATAAAAATGAAGAACAGCAATCAACTGAACTTACTTAATGCAATTTTGATGAATCGTCGGTAAACGAGAGCTAGTATTATCAGCTGTAGCCATGCGATCAATATCTTGAAATTTCTTCATAGCTGTTACCTTTCCACCATATCGAGATTCACTCTTAGTATCCAACTAGGTTGGGGAACAAAGATAATTCAGATAGCGTCATGAACAACAAATATAAAAATCTATTAAAAAAATATTATTCTTGTTTCCACTAGCAATCATCATTCATTTTAAGCCCTCCCGATAAAAAAGCTTGATTATCAGTTTACTCTGTCACCTATGAATCAAAATAGTCAAAAATATCACTTACGAAACATAATCCAAGTTCGATGCAAACATTTGATGATATACTCATACGACGAAACCAATTACCACGTTATACTTCTATCTAAGATGTGCATTATTCAATACTTTATTGACTTGTAACCGTATCTAAATGTAGGCAATCAAACACATTTCCAAGCATTCAATAGAAACACATTTTACCTAACTAATTTTCTATCTAAACAATACAAATGTTAACCATGCACATAATTAGGATAGCTTTTTCTAAAAAGTAAGGTAGTCATAAATCTCCACCAGTCTCCTTTTATAAAGTTTATCTAGAGAAAAAGATTGGTTTGTTTCTGAAGAAAAGTACTTTATGTAAAACATACGAGAGGATAACTTTTCGATAAACCCTGATTAGTTTGTGAGAATGACAGATAGCGACAATTACGATTCGTATTTGTGTATATGCGCTTATGTGAGATGTCCTACGGCTCAGAGCTTATCTATATTTGATTCAGCATTTACTTAACGCGTTGAAAGAATCATTACTAATAGAATAAGTTGAGACCATATATATAGTTTGTTCTATTACAAAAAGACATAAGGAACTCAATCTGAAAGGAAATAACACGAAATACACCAATTTAAGTTGCGGCGTTCCACATTAGCACAGAAAGAGAGAATAAAAAGAGGACATACTAAAAGATATAGATGTATATTGAGAACTGAAATACAAATATCAAGGATTTATAAGATGAGGATTAAGTGCGTGACGTGATAATACGTAATAGTAGCACCGTTAAATTATAAAAGTTTACAGTACTATAACCATTTACTTAGGTTATGCAACCAAACTATATTATGGGTTCGGTTCCAAGAACCGAATAGGTTAAAAAATTTGTATCAAGCAAATTATTCTAATGGATAAATCCCAATCAATTACAATAAGACATGCTTACCTAGAAGTACTTATGGAATAAAACCTAGTTGTTATTGCACAAGAATATAAGTGTGATCAACTCCAAATAATAACAGTAGTAGCTATTTATATACATTGGCATGAAGCGACTCGGTTTGTATTTAGTGGATGAACAGTGACTATCTACCCTTCCTTATTGAACCAAAAAACAATCCATTAAAATACGAACGTACATTTATAAGCAAATCATACATACTACTTAGAAGTAGTTAGTCACTAAAGTCATTTAACAATACAGGACTTGGTACAGATGCACACCAGTTCAGTTTGTCATAATACACACCAACACAATGAGAGGCGATGAACAAAGACTACTACATCTGCAAGAAATAATGTTTGTACATCTGCAAGTAACAGAACTAAACCAAAAATTTTCCATGAAAAGCACACTATACATAAAAATGACGCACACATCTTTTTATAAAATAACAGGTATATGACAATCGAATCGACGTACCTGGTGAACAAAACTGATCGATTGGTCATTATATCTAAACAGCATAGGACAACAGTCGTAACCACCTGCTACAAAAGTTGATGGTCCAATCCAAATGCAACTGACGAAAGGTAAGAAATCAGTTCGTAAACGTGTAACAATAGGTGTAGCACTGATACTTGCATCAGCTACAAAAATTGTTGAATTATGCTTAGTCCATGCTAATTTATTTCCATCTGCCGAAAATGAAACGCTTAGAACCCAACCACCTAAAATATAAACATATGAATATCTTGAAACATATGTGGAAAATACGAGTATCAATAAAGATTAAAAAAAGCCAAGAATATTCTTTCACGTAGTTATAAAAAAAAGGAAGCGACATGTATATGGCTTTATTGAGGATGTTGAATCTCCAAATATAACTTATAAAGAGGAAAATCAATATTGATTTAAGATGAATATAAAGTCGACTTTGAACACATTTTTGCTGCATTACTTTATGAACTTTGAATGCATTTTCACTATGATTTATTTTCAGTAGCAATTACTCATTTTTTATGAACTGGTAAGTTTAACAGAATAATTTAATAAACCTTAAGATATCGATTTAAAGACAATGTTAAAATTCTAAAAAAATAAAACAATTTGAATTTGTGTAATTAGTAAAAGTAATGGTATGTATACTATGAACTAGTCTATATATCATTTATTTAAAACACGTAGGTTATGGTTCACTACATTTTAAAAAATGCGCTATACAAATGAAGTGGTAATATTGTGAAGAAATAGAAAAGAGAAGGATGGCAGAATCAATAAATAGTTGAAGAGGAATAGTATTTGGTACCGTTCAGCTAAGAATGTAGTCAAGAAAGTCTTCTTCTAGTTAACGGAGTTCATCCTATTTTCTCAAACATTCACCAGAAAACTACAACAACACAGCCACTGCATTCTATTTTAAATTATATCTGATAGCATCAAAAACCGCAATGGACCAATAGATGTCAGGAATATTTAATGCAAAGGCACCATGTCAAAAACTAATCACTTCCTTACTTTTTTCGCCCAGTCCCAGATTTGTTAAATGATGAAAGATGTGGAAATCAATGGGATGACAATAGTAACACATCCCCACGCCATCGAAGTCGGTGTTTCGAGATGGTAATTTGCACTGAATTATCGCCACTGGGTTTGAACACAAAGTGCTGAACCTTAACGTTACTAACATAGTGTTGACAATGGATATGAGCAATCCTTTTGGAGATAAGGATGATTAAATGGAGTCGCCAAACGCTAGTTTTCACAAGCATGGAGCAGAAACGCTCTTACCCACGGGTTGTAAACCCGGTTATATACAGCCAGAGTAATATCACAGCGTTGCCAAAGACTTTCCAAATTGGTATAAGCCATTCTGGCTTTCACTATACGTATATCGGTTTCGTTTGTCATGCCGCCATCCTCTCTGATAACACTACCCAGATACATGAACTTCCCGACTATTTCTAACAAATTACCTAAAAAGAATGAATGCGGCACGGATTCCTTTCAATCTTTCAAAAGTAATTTGCATTTCAAAGATGCACAGTACATGATGTACTTACGTATAAGGGTATGAGTATGTCGACAGGGTCAGATGAGTCTCCACACATTTTGTACATCGTGGCACGCAAACATGGTGTTACTAGGTAGTAAAAGATACTAACAAACAGCTAAGTGATACACATATATTATAAAGTTATTGCTGTTTAGATTACCCAACTCATAAAGAGGGAAAATGTATGATGGTATAAAATGTAGAGTAAGTTCACTAAAAATAACGAACAAACATATAAACTTTTAGAGTTTGTGATTTTGGTTTATCTCAGTCTGGCAATAGAAAGCAAGTAAACAATTAACGATAAGATCAATAACAAGTATTTTACAAAGTGTAACAATTTGGTGTCATTTACCTTTCTAAAAAATTTTATACCTAAATACCAATTCCTTCATTTAACCCGAAAAGGATGGACAGTTTCTTACTAAATTTCACCTAACAATGTATAGTTTCGCATGAATTTGAGAGGGTTCAGACATAGCTTAATACTTCTCTATTATTTCTAAGCACATATCTAACCGAAGAACAAAACTTTGGGAAAAAACAGATTACAGTAGTAACTATCCGGACAACTTCGCACATGATCATCACGATAAGTATCACACAATATAACACAACATCAAGATCATGAAGCTTAAAACAAGGAATAATAGTGATTAAAAACAGGTAAACGAAACAAGATAAGTTTAAAGTCGGATATTAATTGCACTGTAGAGTGAATGACATATATTTTTCATATTTTCCAATTATTTACTTATTAAAAGGCTCTTGAATATATTTATTCTTTAGTTTAATATTCCGTATATAAATGTGTTATTTTGTGAAGTCTTTGGATTATAACTGTAGTGACAGTGTTAATTTATATGTTTCAGTGGGATTTACGACAGTGGTGACGGTTACTTCAGAAACAATTTTGACTGACCCAGATTACAAGTTGATGTTTTAACAGGATACGACACCGACAGCTGTGACAGAGAGATTACGTGCTATAACACCGAATCAGGTTGCCCAGTCCTGAACTACATCGGCAACAGAACAAATCGCTAATAAATCTCTGATGCTCTAATAATTCAGGTACCACAGAACATGAAAAGGACTCAAACTGGATATTGCCACATCGACCAAGTGATCACAATCTTAAAGAGGCAGTAAAGGAAATGGATTTTTAAAAACTAGTCTTTACTCTGAATACGAGATATCAGTAGTGTTGATAAAACGGTAAACTGAAGACCTTTTCACCTACGTAGGCTAACGATAATGCGAACGCTTCAGATTAAGACAGCTCATGACCGATCCAAGTGTCTCATTTTTGTCTGTGGAATAAAACCTTCAAGAGATTAAGATACCCACAAGTTTGAAATTAACTAAGACCTCTTGATAACGCTATAGTTAGTTAATATGGAATGACAACGACTGACAAACCCCAAACATTGCACATTGATGCTGTAGTAACCGAGACAATCCAGCAGTGTACACGATTACAAGTTCAAAGCATTTACCCAGTCAACCCCTATAAACCAACACCTGGAAAACATCTTCATAAACATGTTGTGACAGTGAAGAATGTCGCTCAAGCAAGAAACATTGTTGTAAACAATGCAACTGGTTATAAAAAGAGATGAATATCGCATATAACGTCCCAGCACCATCAGATCTATAGCGAAACGTAGAAAGTCCTCCAAGCCCAAACCTTACATCCATTCAAAAAGCCTGTCCATAAAATTCGTAGATGATCGTGATGGTTACAAATCAACGGATACACAACACGTCTGTAGTTAAATACTGCGTACGACACTATAACCATTTCAACGAAATTATACAGACACATACCCAAGCTATAACTCAAGAAAACACCTCAGACTGTAGTGAAATGCGGCGAAATATTGTTACATTGTAATATTTTGTACCAAGGTAAAACCATCCCTAAATTATGCTACACTGTTAAAGAAAACTTAAATGTACTCGAACTTGATTGGTTCAGTACGTGTGGTCTGTATTTGCAATCCTTAAATAGCACTTTTCTTCGAGTGCAGAAGACTCTAACGGTAAAATAAACAAATCGAATCATTTCTGAATTTTGAAGTAAAGGTTGATGGGACAACTAAGAATGAGGTGAAATATAAGACTGCAATATTGAAAGTTGTTTTTTAGATGCCAGAAACTCCCTAAATCCGAAACACTACCAGTCGAGTCAAAGCTTATGGCAAACTGTCATCTGAATTTCCAATTTTAAGTGCTGTCCGACAAGGACGTCCACTATCTCCATTTTTGTTCAATTTCATCATAGACCTACTGCTGGAGATGACTTTCTCGTCGTCTGAATTTTCAGCAATTAATCTGCTACCAGGAGGTCCGCTTATCGACTTAGAATACGCAGATGACTTAGTCCTGTTTGATGAAGATATTGATAAAATGAAGAGTCTTTTGGTAGCACTCAGTAACAATGCCAGGATGGTAATGATATAACAGACGGTCAAATAATTTTCGTTTGTTAGAACAAGTAACTCATTTAACAAGTAAATGTTACTGTGCTTAGAATAAGAGTCATCGGGATTTAGATCAATTTCTAATTAACAAGTATAGTGGTTTTCTTTATACTATGACTGTGAAGGCTTGACGGACTTGTGAGGGTTTAACTCAGACGGTTCATACATTGAACTCCATGCTTGAATATCATACTTAATACAGGCTAACTATTGTGTTTTTTGAAATGTTGACAGCCTCCAATTATTTGGACGTAATTGTGTTTTGAAACCCTGTTGAAAAAAGTCGTGTGTGGGGCGTTTCTTGAGATTATGGAAATTGTATATGAATACACAAATAGGGTGAGATGAGTTAACCACTTGTGTCGTTCGTAACAAGCGGTGAGGATAAGATTACCTCAACCACATCATTCGTCGTTAACTTTCACACTAATATTCTGGAGATAAACATGGAGAAATTCTAAGCCATGGTAAATATTTGCAGATCAAGAGGATGGTTTTGATGAAGAAAATAAAACACAACCAAGAAGTTTAGGTCAGTGTAAACTTGTCACCACCAGAAAAACGTTCCAACCCTAACTAATTTCAATCAGTGGGCAATCACTCTTCGTAGATGGAGCATATTTTTGGCAAAGTAACTCCACAAGAACGCCAGAAGCCTTTACTTTAATTGTTGTTTCCTAGTTAACTGTTGTAAGCAGTAGAGTAGTACGTGGATGAGTTCTGAATATGGTGGAGCCACGTAGTCATCTGGTAAACTCCAGTTCCAAACCAACCGTGCACACGGGCTCCAGGATCCAGAAAGGTTAAGTGGAGTATAAACCTATTTACGGTAGCCAGAAACCATTGGATTCCATCTCCTAACACAGCACACTGCCTTGTGGATTAGACCTCTAGGTTAAAGGTTTGGTGAGCTGGTTCCAAGGAAAATTACCAGCTTCGGCCTTGGTACCCGGTCAGTATCCTAACCCACACACAACGATAAATATAATTATCAATGACGAAAACGGTTTCACTAGCTCTAGATGCCTACATAAACGACTACTGCAAGTCCTTAATTACATACAAACTCATATTATGATCATTTATAGTCCTATTCCATAGCATTTCTATTCTATGTTTACTTTTATTCTCCGACCAACACAGAAGCTCCCCTACAGTAGAAATCCTGTCTTATATAAACGACCTTATG